GCGTAAATCCCTCATTTCGCGAGGTTCTGCAGCCCGGCCTCGGCGGCTTGGCCCGGGACAATCCGGTTTTCTCAACCGAATGGTATCAAGTGGCTTCCCCTGCCTCACTAGGTCCCCCCGCCTTGATGGGGCCTTGCTGGCCTCTCTACTAAACCCAACGTCCTAGTTGTCACCTTGCTTCGCTCTCAACCTCGCGAGGCGCCACCACACCCAGAGAGGTTAAGAGTCTAAACGCTTTAACTTTGGAGAATGTACTGGGGCTGCGAGAGGGCCAAGTCCAGGCCGCAGCCCATTTTCCTGAAAAACAAGAAGTCCCCTGCAGGGCCAGGCACCGGCGCCCTGTACGCCTGTCTGCCGCCAGGAGACAAGGGGCCGGTACCTGGAGCAGGTGGGAGCCCAGTTCGCGACCCACGTTGTCCAGGGGGCTGGTCCGACTCGAGTGGCCCCACGCCTCGCCGAGCCCTGTGGAGACACAGAGATGCTAGCAGTGTTGGGACGAGTCCCACGGTTATGTCTACACACACGACCCGAGATCTTGGGGGTTCCCGGCTGTACCCCACCCACAACGCTGGATCCGAGCATGTAAATTTCGGTTCCGCCCGCCCAGGTTCTGAAGTGTTTAGCAGAGGTCAGACTTCCTCCCTAGGATGAACCTGGGTTTCTCAGGGAGGGCAGGACCCTGACCAAGTGCCCTCCCCACCCCCCCACCCCACCCCCGGCAGGACATTAAGTGGCCAAGTTTGGAGACAGCCTTACCCTAGAAGAGCTCCAGGGCCAGACCCTAGCGATAACTTTTAGGTAGGTTCACTAATATGCTTACGGGAATGAGGGACACTTTATTTCTCGCCCCAGGTTTTCATCATCCTTATCATGAGCCCAAAGATGTCCCCACATCCAGCGAAAGCCACTGCTCTCCCGGAACGACCTGAGGCTGCGGGCCAAGTCCGGCAAATCCCTAGAGGACTTCTTAATTGGCTGCCGGGCTCTCCCTCCATTCTCCGCTACTCTGCCTCTAACTTTAATCCCCTTTGGAAAATTCCGTTTGCTTGCCAGTGGCTTCCAGCCTGAGTTTTACCAGCATTCCTGCTCAATCCTTCTCCTTCTGCCTTTCCACTTCTAGCTCCCGGCCATACATCCACCCGACTCCTCCTCCCACAAAAGAAAGAAAGAGAGGGAAAGAGAGAAAAAGAGAAAGAGAGAGGAAGGAAGGAAGGAGGGAGGGAGAGAAACAGGAAGGAAAGAAGGAAGAAAGGAAAGGAAGAAAGAAAGAAAACGCACCCCAGCTTTTCTGAAGTTAATTACTTTGAGATGCTGGCACCTTCTTAGTAATACCTTCGTTTCCTTCAGGATATAGGGAATCATTCAATTTCTCTATGTTCCAGGTGCAATACCTATTAACAAAGACAGCCCCTTTCTGTCCTTGGATGCTACCACATTAAGATCTGTCGAGGCTTTGCCACGAATCATTTCTCCAATGTTGCCTCAAAACTAAAAGGCTCAAGACTCCTGGACTGAATATGTAAAAATAATAATAACATATATTAACATGGAGTCTGCTATAGTACCTGTATGCAGGGAAAAAAAAAGAAAGAAAACTAACGCAGAAGAAACTTGAAGAGATCGAGGTTAAACTATGGGTAACATCTTTTAACAGTGTTGCTACTGAACTTATTTTAACTAGGTAGTTAAGCCCTTTTATGCTACACCATAAAACAGGACTTAACGTGACCAAAAAAAAAAGTGATTTACTGCGTTAAGGGGCAAATCACCATGAAGTAAGCTTTGACAAACACACTTGCATTGCAATACGGGGATGGGGGCGGATCTTTCACAATAAAACGTGGAGTCGGACTCTTATAAAAGGCATGCGCCAGTAGCTGCTTCCTAAGCAAGCGATCTAAACCCAGACAGACAGTAACCGTGAGCGCCCCTTAAGCTCAAATTCGGTCTTTCTGGGTATTTGCACATCTAAATAAATCTAATGATTTCCCCCACCACTCTGCAAACACCGAAGTTCCCCGCCGCCCGGACTCTTCGTCCCTCAAGCTTCAAGCCCTACTGCCTCTTTGGCCCGCCCCAGTTTCCCCTCCCAGAGTGACTCCTTGGCCTTTGTCCCTGTAGTCCTCCCGGACTGCTCCAGGAGGGCCCTCGCCCCAGGCACAGCTGCCTGCACACAT